TCAACCAACTCTTTGACTTCTTTTCTTTTTTTTTTGTTTGTTTACTTGTTTTGTTTTTTTCTGTTTTGTTTTTTTTTTCTTTTTTGTTTTGTTTTGTTAAATATTATTATTATAAAAAAATAAAACAGTAGACCCGGACAAAATCGGTGTCTACAACTGCCAACAGAATATCGATAGAATTCTTATTATTTTTCTAAATTTTAATTTAATTTTTTATCAAAAATATTTATTGTTGAAATTTTTTATTAGTAATCCATCAAAAATAATTTTTCTATAGATGGAAAATTTTAAAAAATTCTAGAAAATTTTAAAAAATTAAAAAAAGAATTAAGCAAACTTAAAAATTTTCACAAATTTTCCAATTAAAAAGTCCAAAAAAATTAAAAGAATAAAAAATAAAAATGTTGATTTTAATAAAAATCTAAATTTTTTTAAAGTTAAAAAAAATTAATAAAAACTAAAAAAAAACTAAAACCAAAAATAGTTTTTTTAAAAAAATGTAATAATTTTTAAAACATTTAAAAGAATTATAAAAAAATTCTAAATTCTTTTCATTTTTTTATTCTCACAATTTCAATTTTTTATATATTTCTTAAATTTTTAGATTTTTTTAATTTAAAAAAATGGTTCAAAATTTTGAAATTATTTAATTTTTAAATTTTTTTTAAAAGTTTTAAGATTTTTTCTTATTTTCAGTTTTTTAAGTTTTTGTGATTTTTTTTTTAACTTTAAGAAAATTTAACTTTTATAAATTTAGTTCTTTTGAATTTTTTTTATTTTTTAAAAAATTTTTAGAATTTTTAAAATTGTCAAATTATGATAATTTTTATAATTTAGAAAAATATTTCATATTTTTAATTTTTTATAAATTTTAAAAAAATTTTACATTTTTCAAAAAATTTTAGAATTATTTACAATTGTTTTAAAGATGATGTGACATTGATGATGTGGCACTGATTTGATTTTTTAACATACGTTAGCATATTATTGGATATTCATGTTATTTCAATAAAATTAACTAACAACACTAGTCTCGGTGCCAACATGATAATGAATTTGAACATTTAGATATCAATATAACAAAAAAAATTTTTAGATACCAATATAATAAAAATTATAAAGTTTAAGAATCAAATATGCATTTAACCCTTCATTATTAAGCTTTGATCTTCCTTTATCCTAAACTTGATCAAAAGGAGACATATAATAAACCCAAAATTTTGTGCTCTAATAATATAGGATTTCAAAAGATTTTGAAAATTTAAATATTTTTTTGGCTTTGAGAATATTTGGGCAAATCGAAGTTGATGTGATAATTATGCATTAAAGTTTATTTTGAAATTATTTAGAGGACTTTTTATTCTAATCTTTGATGTTGCCTGATTGTGAATCTCATAACTTTTCAAATACTTGAAATTATTGGACAAATTTTACATTGTTGGGAAGATCATTCAATTCCTTTTCTTTTGATATATTATAAGTTTAAATATAATTAGTATTTAATTAGATTTGATTGAAATACAAAGCATGTCTTAAAATTTAACATAGCTTTTTTTTTATTATATGCCATAAATTACTTTGAATTTTTAAAAGAAATTAGTTTCAGTAGAACTTAAACGCTTTAAGCTTTCTAACGATATAAAAATCACTTAATTTTGACATTGCATAAGAAAGGTATAGACATTTGAAGTTTGGTTTGTAAAATTAGAAATGGAGTGTCAATCGACGATTGTAAGTGTTGATCAATCCACACTATTTTGGTCGCATTTCATGATTAATTTTGTATTTTGGTATTTATCCTACCAAAATGATAGTAACAACTAATAATTTACTTTCTAAAGGATAAATATCCAAAATAAATCTTAGAAGGAGATAATATATGTGATAAATGTGATTTTTCAATTGATAATTCATTCTTAGAATTATATCTTTTATCTAATAGAATCCAATCCTCATATCCAACACTAAAGCCTTCATTATAAATAGCTCATTCTAATTCTTCATTCAACACACCTCAACATTTTTCTTTTCTATCTAAATGATTTCACTTTAGACTTGTACCCATAAGATTCTTCCAAACTTTGAGGATGTTTCCTTATTTTCTCCCATTTAAATCCTCAAAAAACCTTTCTCAATCATCCCTAGTCACCGAAAAACTTTAAGCCTTGACCTAATTGCCATTTTACCCTAAACCTCTACTTGATTATTTGTCAAAGTCTTGGAAAAAAAAAAACCCAATCATAAAAAAAAAAAAAAAAAAAAAAAAACTGATTGGCACACTCATTGGTTGATCGACTCACATCAGTTCAAGCATTCTAAGATCTCTATTTTACATGTCCTATTTACATCGAACTTAGAACCTTGTCTCCACAACTCTAAATGTACCATCTTATCTTATCCAACCAAAACTCTATCCTAAGAGTCTTAATTCGACCAAAAACTTTCATACCAATAGTCATTATCTAGCTTAAACTCTACTAAAAGTTTCAATTCCATCAAAACTCTGTCCGAAAAGTCCCAGTTAGACTAAAATTATTTTAAAAAGTCTTGATCTAGCAAACCTATATCCGACAATTAAGTTGAACCAGAGAGTTCTAATCAAAGTAAATTTCTATTTAACTTAACCCAGCTCATAAGTCCTGATCTACAACTTTCATTAACTAATGAGAATATGACCTATCTTTTCATGATCACACAACATGTAATTTTAGAAAAGTATAATGGTATGTCTTTTAGTTATAATTAAGATTTACTTTATTATTAAAGACAGTGGATATTTTGTAATGTAAATTCATGTCCAGTATGCTATATATTATTTTGTTATCTAGATTAAGTGAAAATGAAGAGTTGTATTAAATATGCCTTAAATGCATTGCTTATAAATTGTTACTATAATATGCTTGATAGACAAGATTGCATAATTTGCATTTCATGTTTCTTTGGTAATTTTTTCTACTTTATATAATATGGCATGAATTGTTTTTTTTATGTAAATTTGATTGCTAATATAGTGCCTGCATCATTAAGGGTTGATAAGCCACTTGAACCTATTAACCTTATGCATCTCTCTAGATACATACATGACAACACGTGACATACGAATTGGTCATATATAACTGCTAATAATCAGGAAAAAAAAAAGGCATTTTCTTTAATTTGAAAGCTAGTTAGGATGTTCATTTGAAGCATAAAGAGAGGTTGGGTTTATCTTAAATAGGATTCAGAGGTTTCTCTGATATCCTATTTATTATATCTAAACTAAGTTCTTTAAAAAAGATGAGACTATCACCTTAAAATCGGCATTAGAGGTAAATAAATTGATTGACGACTTTTAATCAAATCTTGAATCTTTACGTTGAGATGAGTGCTAGAGATAAAACTTGCATCGTTACTCAAGTCATGAAGTGGCCCACCGTAGCATGACTAATAATTTGACACGGCCGAACCCATGCGAAACTAAAAAATAATTTTTTTATATCTCTCAGCAACACTAACAGTGTTTCTTCGGTTAATTCAATTAATTTTGAATAAAATTATCAAATAGAATTAATTGAATTATTTTATTTTATTTTTATTAATCGAATTATATTTAATTTCAAAATTTTAGTTGATCTTTGATTAATTTTTAAATTAACCTAATAATAAAATATATTTAAATTATATTATATTTTAAACTTGAAACAAACTAAGTTCAAGAAATACTCATGTTGAACGGTTCAAGTAGAAGTAAATAGTAAAAAGAAAATGGAAACCCTCCATATCAATCCATCCCCATAGGAGACAATATGAGCAAATGACAGGAATCCCTTAATCCCGCGGAAAAGAACTCTCTTTGAAGAGAGTGAAAGAGTTATCCGAAACGAGAAAACTGCCTTTACGCCGACAGAGGATTCTCTAACCGCGGATAAGGCGAAAACACTTGCATTCGATGCATCAATGAATGTGCTTGCGGCCTCTTCTCTGCTCGATGCCTATTCTGTTCCTTCTGTGGCATTTGTCACCTATTCTGATTCCCTTGCGGAAGCCCTTTTTTCAACTTTCTTTCAGCTCGTCAAAGGACCATCCTTGGGCATTCAAACTTCCAAGGCGGATACACACCTCTATGCCTGGCTTTCTTCAATTATTCAAAAAAAAAAAAAAGTCGAATATTAAAATATTAAGTTAAAATTTCTAAAATGAAATTTTATATATGTTTTAGTTTTATATTTAGATTTTTTATATTTTTATTAAAATTACGGTTAATTTCTTCAAAATTATTTTTTATAACAAATTAAAAATTAAGATAACGATCAATTAATTAATTGAATCAAATCGGTTCAATCAATTAGTTCAATTAAAATTGAAATATGAATAATTTTTTATATAAAAATACATTGTATGTTGTTAGATGCAAATGAAAATACCACATGATTATATCAATATTTTAACTGTTATTTAATGCAAAAAATTTCTCTTATTCCCATAAGCATTAGTATTTTAAGTCGAAATACGTAAATCATTTGTCTATTATTTTCTTCCTCGTCACTTTTTATTTTTTCAATATTTGTGACGCTAAAATGCATAAAACAATAAGTAAAGAAAAAAAGTTTGGAATGTGCTCGGCCAAACCCAATTTATCATGGACCACTAAAATGTATTGGGTTTGATATGACGTGGCTCCATTGGTCCATGGATTACAAGTCCTATTGTGCCTGCTTCTAAAATAGTGGACGGTGCCTAAACAGTCCACATTTTAATCGTATTGGACCAATCCTACCTGCTACAGTGTGATGATAAATATTGTTCGTATGATCTGTTCAATCCGCTTATTTTGTCACTTCTAAGTTTTAGGTCTATTAGGTAATGCACTAATCTCAAGAATAAAAAATATTAAGATTAATTTGATTTTTATTAAAATTAATTGAAATATATGCAACATGTAAGTTATTTGTTAATGAATCAGCATTTTATTTATGAATTATATAAATCCGCAACAGCGGGCATGCCTATTTCTAATTTTAATTAAAAAAAAAAAAAAAAGAAGAGATTGGGAGAAATACAAGAGCCCTCTTATCCGTGGGCCATTACTCAATTTGATGAAGAAGGGCAGATCTAAGGCCCAAGGATCACATTTCTTGCTTGACCGTTTCACTTTACCGATTCCCCTCAACCGAAAAGGCAGCCGCGCTCTCTCTCTCCGGCATCCCTCTCCTGCGCGTAAAGCCGTCGCCAACTCTTGGTAAGCTTTCTAGTTCATTTGACTGGAGAAAAATTTTGACACTCCGTTATCTATATTTTTCTTTATAAATGAATAATTTCAAAAACTTTCTGTGAATATTGAAATTTGAAAACCCTTTATATGATTGCTTCTGATGGCATCTTCTGCCTGACTAATTACTAAAAAGTAACGATATTTTTAACCCGAAAATCAAAAGTTAGAATATTTGAAATTATGAACTGACCTACTCGTTAGAAAAGAACATTTAATCTTTAATATCTGTGCATTCCATTTTTAACCTTGTTTATGTTATCAAAGTATCCAGAAAATCAAAAGAAAATGATAAAGAGGAGGTTCTATAAGTTTGAACATGGGGATAAAGATAATGTGTCGGATTCATCTTCATCGTCTTCGGACTCTGAACTTGAAATGGAAGCCACAGAAGAATCAGAATCAGATGAAGAAGAAGTTGTTCATATGAAAGAGAATGATCAAGCTTGCTCTACATCTTCGGGTTAGTTACTTGGGTTTTAATAAAGGTTTTTTTTTTTTTTTTCGATTTTTTCGACTTTCTTTTATGATTGTTACTAATTTCTGATTTGCATTTCATATGATTGTTTGGTTTCAGGATATGAGAGTGAGAATATCTCAGCAAATGAAGTTGGTGTTGACTCAGCAGGTATGATTTTACATAATTGAATTGAGAAAGTTCATGGTGTAGTACTTAACATTAAAAAAAAAAAAAAAAACCTTGGGTTCATAAGTTTTGCAAAGGTAAAAAAGAAGTCTTGCTTTTTTCATGTCAAACGATAGAAGTCATGTATGAAGTTCGCTAAGGATATCGAGTAATAAATTGTCTGTCTGGTCCATATGTAAAACTTGTTCTGTTACCTGGTTCATCTGAAGTTTTATTGAAACCATTAAAATCTGTTATAATGTAACCTGACTCTTTCTCTATAAATGTGACAGTAACACATAATAATCTTATCCTTTGATACAACAATCTTCTTCAGTTTTTACATATTTATGTAATTCAAATTGATGTATCTTTCTCTGTTAGTATATTTTAAGGTATTTAAAAGTAGGATGGGCAGTTGTAGGTATGTTATCTCATATGCTAGACGTTAAATCATTAGAAGTATTTAACTTGCCATGACTATCATTTAGACAGTATGTAACTTTGGCATGCATTGTTGTGTTGATTTCAGAAAAGTGCCCCTTTATTTTTGTTGTGGTTAACATGATGTGGCATTTGAGGTCTTATAGATGATGATAATGATGAAACTGAAGATGATAAACATATATTTATCAATGATAAGTTATGTAGCAAACGGGAGACAAAATTGAATACCGCAACCATAGAAGAAGCGCTGCCAGATGATTTCCCAGCCTGTATACTGAAATGTAAATCAGTTTTTAAGTGCAAGTTATGTCCAAGAATTGTCTGTTTGAACGAGGAGACTATGAGGGCTCATTTTAAATCCAAGGTAAGTCAGCTGGCTAATTTGTTCTTTCTTTATAACAAAATACTAGATAATTGCATCAACAATTGAGAAATCATATGCCAATGTTCAATCTAATCCTGAAAGGCTATTGACTATTTAAAAAAATCTAAATACAGTAATTGTCAACCTCCTAATTGATGAAATGATAAGAAATTATATGTGGCACTTCACACTTTCACCATTCATATGTGGTGCCTACATGTCTGTTGATAGTTCCAGTTATCATTTTTATCATTTGAAGCTTGCCAACTGATCAGGATGAAAGGAGTATGAGTTTGCTTGTTTGGTTTTACATAGGGTATCTGATGCTGATCTAACAAAACTTCCTTTATCATTGTAGAGGCATGCTCGTTCAGAGAAATTACTCAAGGAAGGTAGGCTGAAGACTATGTTCAACAGTGATGGGGAAATTGAGAATCAGGAGACTGCAGCAGAAACACATGCTTCAGTCAATGCTGTTGCGCAGGTTGGTTTGTCTGAAATTTGACTTCTAGATTGAAGATTGAATATCCATGTAAGAAAGAAAAGTTCTACGCCATTGTCTTGCTCCAGGATAAACAGAAAAGGAAACACAAAGGAGGATGTCATCGACGGGGGAAGGGTTCAAAAAGGAAGGTAACTGATATGCATTTGTTTAGGTTTTTTAGTTAGAGCCTAAATTAATTCCCTATCAAAAATTGCAGAGAACATGAGAAGAAAAGCAGTTTTATAGAAATGCAGCCAAAAGGGGGCGTAAGAATGAGAATTGAAAGCTGTTAAAAGAATAGACCAGCGAGTAGTGTAACAAATAGTTTCCCTTCAGTTCTGCGGAACAAAGTTATGCAATGTAACCATATTGCATCATGTGAAGCTTTAGGTTTTCCATTTTTAAAAATTCTTTCGGCATGTCATTCGCCTTTCAATTTCATTCATCGTACTTTGGGTTTGGTTGTAAGACATCTTGTGCTCATGTTCAGTTATTGAAAGAGCTCGGAATTTTGGGTTAACCGATATCTGGCTTTGAAAATGACAAGATGGAGACAATAATTATAGAATAATTATTCAATCGCAATTTAAAATCGTATGGAGTTTATCAAAAATTTATATGAAATTAATATTTACAAGTTATGGATTCTTATATAATTTTTTCATAATATGAATAATTGTAGAATTGTAGTGAAAAGAATTGTAGGTGAAATGTTTTTCCAGGGAAATTTCATTTGTAATTCTTTTAACTATAATCTTACTCAATCACAATAAAGAGCTATATATTTTTATGGACATATAATTTTAAATTTTGATTGGTTAATTGTAGTATAATTATTGTGGACAATATATTCATACTAGATAAATGTTTTGCTACTTGCCGTTTGGTCGTGCAATCATATTTCTAATTTTTATCGGCTCAGATATCTTTTTCATCAACTATCATTTTTTCCGTTAAAAACTATAGTCATCTATAACAAAGAACAAAAAAGAATGGAATCAAAATCGTGATGGACGTTTTTATTTTGGAAATAAGTTTAACAATTTTTTTTTCAACTTAGTTTTTATCAATTCTTTTAGCTGATGAAAATGTAGGAAAACCATTTTTGTTTCCTATTTTCTTTTTAATTTTATTTTGATTAAAGTTAACTATTGTAAAATTTTGAAATGAGGATTGATTGGATGTTGATAAGCGTATAATACTCATCACAAGCTTTTAAATAATCATGATGTGATAATACATATTTGGTATTTAATGTGATATGTTTTTAATAAATGCTTAAAAACTCATTTTTATGATCATTTTAATATAATTTAAACTTTTCTTATTTGGTACATGCAATATGAATTGCATATGGAGGGATAAACCTATTCTTATCCCTCCTGTTTCAAAACATAAAAACCTCCAAGATGAAGTCTCAAACCTCTAACTGTTGACATGTTCCCATGAACACTTCAGGCTGATTCCCTGAGATAAAGGGGAAAAAACCACTAAAAAGGGTTAACAACTTTCATCTTTGCAAGGCCACAAGGAAGTATTAGATAGGGTTTCACTGTCCAAAACATCATTTCCTGCACACCCAAATTCAACAACCCTACCTCTGTACAACAACTATCAAAGAGTGTTTGTTACTTGTTTGAAATACTCTCTGATACCGGCGAATACAACAACTAGGAAAACAAATTCTGTACAGAAACAATAAAACAGTGTTCAGTGCTCAACAGTCACATCCATTTTTCGAGTCTGAGAATGAAACATATCAGCTATATCTGCTGCCGTGCTACATTCCTCAGGATTTCTATCTGACACACAGCAAATGAACCTTGGGAATCTTATTGAGATGCCACGGGAGGGATGAACTAAACCTATAGCAGCCTGATGAACTGGTGACACAGTGAAGTCTGCACCTTTTATTTCCCAAACAAGTTCTGGAGAGAACCACATATCAGGCACCTCAGATGTCTGATAGTAAGCTGGCTTTTTGGCTAAGATCCTATCGCCAGAAAAGAATTCTTTCATCTGAACTCGATAAAGAAAAACATGCGTGTCATGTGGATGATTCTCGTAGCATAACATGCAAATTCAGGGTAAAACAGCAAGAAAAAAAACATGAACAACGCAACTTATATGCAAAGAGCAATGCTCGACTGGTAGTATCTTCAGAAAGAAATGGTAAAATTCACGTGTGGTTTCTTCGAGGAACCATCAAAGAGTATTTCAAACAAGTAACAAGCACGCTAGTTAACTATATTATAGCTAAGAATTGACAAATAGGAAAAAGAAAAACACCTGCTATATAGATGTCTTACAAACATAAGGAACCTGAATAAACCTCTATATCTACACACTCATGCAGTCTTATCTCAGATCCATTTCCTTTACTCTACCATTGTAGAGACCGCATCATCAATACTTCAACATGTTTCCAAACAAATCTCCTAGTTGAAATCTTGATGTAGCCAATATCAAAAAATTTTGTGAAATTCAGAAACTAAACTAGTTTAACATAAATTATAACTACATCTAAAGTATAGTTCACTGCTTGCAAGATTTAACACCATATCCTTGGTAACATGCAGAAAAGGTGTGCACATTCTAAAATAATACAACAATCATTGACATCCCAACTTACCTCTTTGTAAAATGAATCAGAGAACCCAGACATAACACGGCATACACTTTGATAATCTTCAGTGTCTGGGTTGTAACATGCCATGAGGAATGGGCTGTACCTGCAAGAAACACATAAAATAGCTAAAAGCATGATTTCGTAACAGAAAAGGGTTCACTGAAAGCATACGGCAAAGACATAAAGTATAATAAATCAATATTTCTTGATTAGAATTCAATCATCTGCATCTTTTTGTTTGGCAATATATCAATATACTTCATAAAATGCACATCCCTCCAGCTCACTTTGAGTCCAAGTACTTGCTAAACCTCCCAGCTATTAGAACATCAGGTCTCTTACAGCTCACAGGCTATTTATCACTTGATGTCAAAATTTAAGTTTACAAGTGCCAGCAAGATTCAAGTTTCTGCACACCTGGGATTTTATAAGTTATCAGGTCAAAATACAGATGATTCCAAGAGTCTCTAGGAGAATAGATTTATCTTCTTTAAGTCTATTGGTTATTTACCTATTTACTAATTAGTTTCATATATGTAATTCTAATCCTAGTATGTTTAGGAGGGCACAGTTTGGATCAATGGAACCATGACTCTTTTTGCAGTTTCTTCCTAATAACTACTAAAAATCAACCTAGGCAGATCATCCAAATCTGCACTTTGTCAACATCTGTTAAGAATGGGGGATGCTATTCAAAGTTGCATTTACTCTTAAAATAAAAACACTTACTATAGACTGAATAACTTTTCCCTCTATAAACTATTGCTAATTCCACAGTTTCAAATACAGCATGAAGCATATTAAACTACAGCAAAGGGGAGAAAAAAGGTCATTACCATCCTGCTTTTCTCCCATTACCATGCCAAGCACCAATTGGGACTAAATCAAGGGAGTCACCTAATCCTTCCACATAGTCTCGCTTCACCTAAGATAGAACACCAAGCAATTGGATTCAATATTTTGCTATCTTCCTACTCCTTAAGCAGTTAAATGACTAAAAAATTCCAGTAAACACAAAACCTTTAACCATGTGTCACCACGCTTTGACGGAAGGTATCCAGCATCAGTATCTAAGGATTTAACCATAATTCCTTCACATGAACACTGCAATGCATGTTCAAGGAAAGAGTTCATCCTAGTCAATGTGGCCTCACTGGTTAAACAAGCATCATTTGCTTCCACCTATCAAGCAAGAAACCATAAAAATATTAATCACTGGTCAAACAGGCATCATCTGCTTCCACCCATAAAGCAAGAAATCATAAACAATACTAATCACATAAAAATTTATAATCCATAACAGACAAGCCCAGAGCACTCACTGTAATTTCTTTGGCATATTCAAAATGACCCAGCTTCTCATTGAGAAACAAATCCTTCAAACCTAAATTTTTTTAAGCATGAGAGGAAAAGGATTAAACTTACAACCTGCAACACTTCAATAAGAGGGGCTTTGAAAGAAATTAACCCAAAAAAAATTTGTGGGAGGGGAAGGGCATACATTTCCTTCTTTGGCGTAGAGGAAAACCTAACAGCCTGAGATGGAAATTTTTATCATATATTTTAAGTTGAATGAAAAATAAGAAAATAGCAGCATAAATAAAAGGGCAACTGATTCAAAATATAAGGTGTTTTATTCAGATAAAGAGATTCATGTCTACGTGAAGATCTACACCCTTTTAGTCTAGAACAAAAAAGCTTAACTATAACAATAGCCAGATTGTAAGTGACTGACCTAAGTTGAAAAAATTATAGGTTGATAAAATTGTAAGACTTACTGTATGTGACAGAAGTGAGTAAAAATTAAGTTTCCAGAATTTATTGTTCAGTTGCTCCTAATCTTTCCCCTTTCATAAATTAATGGTAACACAGTCAATAGAATCTTCAGTCTTCTCGAAATTAAAATGCAGAAGTAAAATAGTGGGATAATATTTCAACTACATTAACCAACCTCTATCTTACCTTAAAAAAGAAAAAAAAGTTTACAAACACTGATTGGACTCATAATAAATTGCTAATAAATCCCCATATGCCACAAGGACACTCAATACAATTTGATAGGCCTTCTGATGGAGGAATAAATCTAAACTGCATGAAATCCATGTTAATTATAAAAAGAAAGCCCTGGTGCTCAAGCAGTTTCATTTAAATGAAGTAGCTTGTACTGCAGTTGACTATGCCATCTATATGGCATTGGAAATTTGGCAGGCTATTGGGATGATTAGAAGTACTTTTGAAAGTATTTTTGTCAGGTACGAAAAGTGTTTGTGGTCAAGGTGAATTCATCAAGAGTGAAATAAAATGCATTTAGGGAATGCCCATTTTGAAGGCAATAATATTACAAGCCAAATTTACATTATTTTATGAATCTCTATTGCAAATTGTGCAAATGCATGTATTTTGTCAATTAAAGAGGCACAGAGGAAAGATAATTAACTGCTAAACATATAGAAAATTCTATTCTTATTCAAATTATACCAAATGTCATGCAATTGATTCATTACTAGTGATTATGGGAATGCTCCCATTGTTTTGAGTTCATAGAATCAGAAAATACTCCTGCTATAACTTGTCCTGGACTTCATAGTTTACATATCTACACAGATGTATGTCAAGAAAAAACTAAAACAGATTCCAAGAGAGGGTTCAAGATATTTACTGCTCTCCATTAGCAAACATGATGTCAAACACAAATACGCAAATGTCAACCTGCATGTAGCAACGATATTAGAAAGAAACATCAAAATTTAACTTTAGCTACAGGAAATAAAAGTTAAACTTATAAGAGAAGATGATTGAATGTGAAAAATATATACTGAAAGAGCCTTTAACATCTTTTAGAAAAGCACAAAGGAAATAGGTATCTCAAATAACAATAAAGTGAAACAGCTATGCAGATCCCCTGTGCCACAAGATTATTTTCAATTTACTTTGATGCTTGAATCTTGCATCATCAAACTTCCGTCCCTTGCTAAAAGAGCTGTAAACCATAATCGTGTAATATTACCACGAGCAAATAAATCACCTTTATTTTGTCCACTGTGACCAAAGAATCTTTGCTCCCTCTTCCTCTTGAAGATAATTCTTGGAAGGACATGAGCTTGTGACCATTCTTCCTATCTATTGCAACAACCTGAAGCCAGAACGAAGCACCACATTAGCAACATAAAAGAGTATTTTCTCCCACTGAGATGTACTGCAGCTTAGTTAGGTTTGAAAGAATAACCACAAAAACATAGAGGAAAAACCAATCTCAAAGAATTAAAAGGCATCTTGCTTTTAGACAATCTCACCTCAGCATCCAATATGAAAGTCTGGGCAGCAGGCTTACAAGACTCCTTAATTATATTAATTAAATCAGGAAATCTTACTGTTGTTTCATCCCCATTTCGTGAAAAGACACGCACTATTCCATCAGCCAATTTGTGAATTTGGGCACGCTGACCGTCATACCTGAAAATTACATGCACATGGAGCTACTCAGTCATACCAAATAAATGAGAAAACTACGAGATGCAGAAGCATCATGAAAAAACCTATAAGATATGCCTTCCACTCAGTTATCCAACTAATGCCATTCAAGAATAAACGCAACCACATTGAGTGAACAAGAGAATATAGGAATGAAATATTCTAAATATGGTACAGTATAGCCCTAAAGAGTTGAATGTCAAGATATAAGGCAATAAAGCCTGGTACTGCATAATGGAGTATAGAACTATCACCATTCACCCATCTAACTTCCTTCACCAATAAATAGGAACATGGTTCTATGGGATGGAAAAATCTACAGAATCTTTGGTCATGTAAATATAAATGGTATGAAATGAGCTCCTTTCTCCTAAGTACTGCATAAGATCTAAAGCACATAAAACATACTATCGTTACATCACATTCCCACTTGTCCTAAGGCATGATATGGTCATAGCCAAATATTATTCCTAACTGTCAGTTCTGTCACAACAACCTCACAGATTTCATCAATATCAACTATGTATTATCACAGAAATTAAGAATAACACATTATACTCTAATCCTAACTCAATAAAAACAATAATAAAAACTACGTAGGTATATTAGCCTTACATTTGTTCCTTCCATATCCAAATATAGCAAATAATGCACTTTTAAACTTAAGGAAATGTATATAATCCATCAAAAGATCAAGAAAAGAGTGAAAAGAGCTTACTTATATTCACATGTAAAAGCTTTGTTTTGAAAAAGCTTCAGTACTTCTTGAACCCCATTAGTAATTCTACCATCACAGAGGATAAAACCACCCATACATATTAGTACACTTTCATGTATATTAAAAAATAGAGTAACATGTATACATACTTTGCTAGCATGGGTTTAATAGGTATTCCCGGAACCATCGACAAGATTGAAGATGAAAATGCAACCCCTTCCTTCATTAGCGAAGGAACAACCAAATCCTGTTAACAATGCATCATCAGCATAAATGTACAGCAAAGAAAACATATTCTATCTTATGTCATTTTCAGAAGAATGAGAAGGAAAAATCTGGCATGTGCAATGTGTAAATTAAAATGAAACAGACTCTAATTTACAATAAACAAATATAGCAAGAGCAAAATAATGCATGCATACACATTAACACGCGTGGATATGGAAATTCTGGAGCTGTTAAATTTAAGAAAATATTATATAGCTAAGAACTTTGATACAAAATGCATAATCACTTACCAAATTCGGAAGTACATTATATGCTTCTATTACTGCTGCAGAAAGGTCCTGACAAGTAACCGAAAGATCAAATCAGAAATAGAAAACGATAACAGATGATCCCTGGCATATAAACAAGCAATCCTGAAAACAATATTATTTATATGCAGATAAATCTAATAGATGCCTTTGGTAGCATGATTCTTTGCAGAGGACATGAGTTTGAGCCAAACAGCACAACAACAGATTCATCCTTTCCTTTCTTTTCTTTTCCTTTCCTTTTTTTCTTTTGTTGGGTTGGGTTAGGGGGTAAAATTTAATGCAGTCATTATTTTTATATTTCTCACCCACAGTGACAGTGTAAACCAACAAGCACAAACACTTGCAGACTTTCGCTATGTAACCCCCTGCAACAAATTATGAAGCTCTAATGCCCATCTTTTATCACTTTGATTTTTGCTTTTAAAGAAAAATCTAACCCTGTAAACATCAAGTCTTCATTAAAAGATCTACCATTTGATATTAAATTCTTCACAAAACCAATCTGATATTATAAGGTCAGTTTACTTATTAGTTTATGATTAGCATCAATCAAACCTGAAGCTTCTCTTTTAGACTATCTACTGTTGCTTCATGATAAAGATTAGGAGAGGAAGTCATGACAACTGCTTGAGCCAACGCAGGCAGAATTGTTTTCATCATTGCTCCAATTCGCAAATTCCTGACCTGTATGTACCACGATTTTAGAAACTGATGAAATTGCAAAGCAATTCAATGCTCCTACGGCATATTAAGAATTATGGCCACAAGGAATCCTTCATTCATGCTCATGTAGTTTTACAAAATGTACAAATTCAAAGATCTTAACATGCCTCCAAGAAAATTGCTAATTCATTTCATTATCAAGCATGAGAAGGTTGATAATTCTACCATTGAAAATCCCAATGTCAATCACAGAGAACAATGGGCATGCCAAAATAGCAGCACAGCATAATGTGTTCTTTGATCACATCTACCATACATGATACACCAATTGAAAGAAATTCAAATTGACAAAAGCTGGTCAAATGCACGTAAAGTCGTAAACTCCCATCTGATACACAAAGGAACTCACTTATCCAGGTTTTCACAGAACATGTGCGTCTCTAGACACTACATAAGCTTCTAGATTAAAACCAATAGTAAAACAGTATCCATGCCAAGCCCATCAACTGCACTTAAACGACAGCCATGCAAAGAATAGCATCTTGCAAATCAAAGCCTTCCAAATTCCAAATAAATTATCTCTCATCTCAATTATCAGATCACTATCCAGAATGTGAGCCAATCAGAACTGTCTCTTCCAGAAACTGGTGCAAAAGCTTTTCAGGTTCTACTCTAGCAAGAGACAAGGCTCACACTAAAATATCACTTTAAATGACTATCTTGCACCACTTCAAATTGCCAAAACCATCGGTCTAGCAATGCTTCATAGACTCTGTTATCATTTACTGACCCGCACTACCAAGCACCTTGATGCACGTACCTGTAATTTAGCAATACCACGGGATTTTTGAATTTCTTTCAAACAGCCAAATAAAGAAATTTTGAAGTGTTTCAAAAGATACAAAAAGTTTTGGGATATAAGAAAAGAATCACAGCCTATTCAAATAAACCAAGTAACCTTCTGTTCTCACACTGTTGCATATTAGATAAATACATAAATCAAAACAAGAATTGCCTACATACAAGGTAAAGAGCATTTTCAAAATCTTACCAAAGTTCTCACCAGAAACTTCATCTCCTTCTCTCTACATGATCGCATAAGATTCACAATAAGGTTTTTCTTCCGGATGGTACTGCCACTGCCTGTTTGTAAACTGATAAATGCTATATAAGGAAAATGAGAAAAATAGAATATACATGACAAAGATTAAAATAATACAACAGAAAATGATAAGCATGCTGCTTGTGTAGCTAATAGCTCCAGTAATCAAATTTTAAAATGGTACCAAATGGATATTAATACATGGAAAATTTTGACTGAATTTCGCTTATTTTTCAAGAAGACAAAAAGCTGTGGCAAGGACTTGCTTTAGTGCAAGAATTTGCAGGTATAATCATATGCATCAAGCACTCAAGTTTCCATGAATAATTATTCAAACCCTGAGTTATTTTATGGCATCATATAGAACATGAAATCTCTAAGGATACAATCTTTTGTCTATCGTCAATAGAGTGGTAATAACATTCTGCTTCTTATTTGTTACATGACCTAGAAAATCAATCCTTATGAATAAAACAATCTTGTGTCAAGTTCTCCATGAATTTTCACTACTACTGCAAATTAATATGACACCCTTCTAAATTTCATACATCTCAGGAATCAAGTCAGTATCTAGTCACGGCATCAATATTTAGTAATTTCATAATCATTTATTATTACAGGATCCATACTGAGCTGTTCATACCTTATCTTCCGGAGCACAGACAATACATCCCTAATCAATAGTGGTGGTGGAGGAGCAAGTAAAGTTTGAGTTTGCCGGCATGCTTGTGCAACATCACCTTAGACCAAAATAGGTTGTTAAGAAGGTCTGCAAAAAATAATTATGGCAAGAAAAGACTAATGCAAAACATTAAGACGAAACAATCTACTCCTACCAAGATCACCCATATCATTATACATATCCCTTATTTTTGACCTGCTAGTCCCACAAGCTTCTTCCAGTGCAGATGTAACCAAGCTTCCGCCAAGATTTAATTCCTGCATCATTAGTACAGCATGAATGCATCTTGTTTATTGTGGTTTGCTGCTATATCTCTCCTGAAATCCGGTTTCTTATTTGTTTAGTGATCTAGAATAGTACAATTTGAGAGAAAATCATCTTTGAGAAATAGCACGCAAGAATTAATTACTGTGTGAAACAGCAAAAAGGAAGATAAGGGCAGGAGAATAGGTGAAGTGGACTAACAATATTTTCATGGTCAGCAGCAATTTTGTTGGTGCACAGATACACAGCAGGAAGCACATCCTCTGGGGACAAGGCCAGCAAACTTGTTGAAAGAAAACATAAAGGAAAAATGGTCAGCAGTCAGTTATAAGTAATGCAACATACACTTTGATTCCACAATCAAGAAATATATATAAATAATAAGATACAATCTTTACCAACCTTCTAAACATGTTGCAAAGCATAGAAGTAGCTTTGATCTTGCCCTTTTGGCCTCCAACCAGGTCAAAAGTCCGTGCAAGATGGACATATGGAGCAGGCTGACCACATCTCCAGCATGCTGCAGGGACATCTCAGTAGCATTTTATGAATAAGCTGAGAAGTTCTATGAACTTGCCTCTAAAATAGAGAAACCAAAGATGCGGTAAAACTAGTATAACTCAGAAATCTGCCAAGAGTTTCAAAAAGATAAAAATAACTTCTAAATATATGCTACCATGCTCCAGGATTAGTAGAATTTCAAGATACAATACTAAGAAAATAGTAAATTAAAACAGCTTATTGACACCAACCATGCTCTATAGGTTTATATTTATCAGGCGGCAATGATACAAGAGTTGTGTCAACATTTTCCACAGGTTGTCTTTGCAAAGATGACTCTGCCATACATCTTGACTCCTCTGGAACAGGCTTGTTTTTGCTAACAGAGCAATCATTATTACAGCTCTGGACCTGAACTGATTTGCTAGAGAGTACCAAATTTTCTGTATTCTCACCATGGTTCACCTCAGGATTACTATAATATAAATCCAGTGCCTTGTTGATATCTCCTTGGGTTTTCTCAAGTAAGGTGGCCACATAATTTCTTGATGATTCCTTGGCATTTATTATCTGAATAAACTGATCTATTTTCTCTAAATATGATTTAGTCAAATTACTAGGTAAGGTGCTTTCACCTTTAGGGCATTCCTCATTTTTTTGACAAGTCCTACCACCTTCAGAGTCATCAGCCAAAAGTTTACTGAAGAAGCTTGTTATTGTAGGTTGCTTTGACCCACTAGATTCCAATTTTGAATTGCTTTTTAATTTCTTATTCAACTTATTCTCAGTGTTTTTCTTCCTTTTGCCAGGAGATATGCTACTCTGAACTGAAAGTTTCAAACTAGGAGACTTGCTGGCTTCACTTAAACGAATGCTTACACTTTCACGTTTGCTACTTCTAAAAGGTCCTGAATTTAAAAGTGACACAGATTTGTTAGGTGACCTGGCCAGGGATGTGGAATCAGAAGTTCCAAAAGCAGAGACTTGCTCGTATAACTCAATTTCGCGTTCATAGAAATTAGAAACAGCTTCAACAATATTCCATCCTGAGCTGCTAATCAAATCTAATATCTGGTCCCTGGTGACCCATTTGGGCAAACATTCCCAAAATTCCTCAATGATTCTCTCTCTTTCCTCCTCACTTGGCATAGTTGAATCATGTGAATCAGGTTTGTGCACAGAAGATGAATCATTCAAAGTAGTATCTATATCATTACTCTCATCTGTTTTCATTTCTGATACATTTCGCTTTCTCTCCATGTCCTTTTCCTCATTCAAGCCTGCACTAGCATCCACTTCAATTTTTTCTACACTTTCACAATTGCCACGATGAAAACCCATCAGGAAGTCCTTCTTATTGGCCATTTCATCAACCAACCCAGCAAAGTGCTTTCTCAGTTTATCAGCATGCTTACTGTCAAGCTTCTCGATGTCCATGCCAACAGTAGGAATAACCTTCTTTGGTTTCAAAAACTTCACATATTCTCTAAGCTCATCATAATTAGAATGCTCGCTATATGGGACTAGATGTATCTCAAATGTATCCTTAGACCTCACTGCAAATTTATTCCGTTTGACTTCATAAGTCCACCCGGTTGGCACAAAACCAATAACCTTCTCATACCCTTTTTCCACCATAATCTCCTTCATTCTTGCAAAATTCGGCCGAAAATACGGCCAAGTCTCACCTAACACATTCCAACCAACGACATGAACATCACTCTCACTCTCATCTTCTGTAAAAACTCCATTATCCCCATACCCCAAAACACGCAAAATCTCCATTTTCCTCCCATCCACACATATCTTCCTCTTACATCTCCGTGCAACCTCAACCAAAATCTTCTCTTTCCCAACAACATAAGTAGCAACAAGAAACAAAACCCTCTCTTTCTCAAATTCTTTTCCTATCCTATCTACCACACTAACTACATAATCGACCGATTCTTCTTGAGAAGGAAACACGAATTTCGGATCACAATAAGTAGTATCTAAAAAAATCGCATCACAACCAACAAATCCATTCAAATAACTATTCATCTTCATCGAATTACAATAACGACAATCACCCGTGTGAACATACCTTTCAAAGCTCCCGTTTTTAGTGGGAACTTTGAATAAGAACTGCACTGCCCCGGGGCAATGATTGGCGTCAATGAGAATGACCTCACAGCCATCTACTACAACTGGGTCATTTAAAGCTAAGGGGAAGATGAAATGAGGCGGGATTTTAAGGATTTGGATGAGGAGGAGGGAAGTGGTGTGGGAACAAAAGATGATGCCTTTGGACCAGGAAGGGGAGAGGCCGGAGTAGTGATCGGAGTGGAAGTGGGAGAGGAAGTAAGCGGCGGAGAAGCTGATGGTGGGGTAGCGGAAGGAGTCGATGAGGAAACGGGTTTTGGGGATGAGTTTGGAGGGAGGGAAAGAGGAGGGAATTGGGGAGAAAGAGAGGTTGGGATGAGGAGAGTTTAGCGCGGTGAGATAGAGTTGGGTCGAATCTAGGGTTAGGGCTTTGGCGGCAGCAGTGGTACTGCTGGAGGATTGAGAGAACATTTGCGGTGCTTTGCGTGGTGGCATGGGGGTTTAGGAGTGGGAAAGGGGCATTTTTGAGCGATTGATTTGGGAATTTTGAGAGTTTGGGGAGTGTAGCGGTAGGCTAGGCTGTTGGCGCCAAATGAGTAGTTTCTTAATTGTTTTTTTTTTATTATCTCTCTCTCTCTCTCTCTCTCTCTCTTTCTCTTTTCTTTTCGTTTTTATTTCCTCCGAATATTTGTCATATATTTGTCTTGATAATTTAATTTTTTTAATCAACAATACAATTTATATTTTTATAAAACGTTTAAGGATCTCTTCAAATTTTGCTGGGATTTAATCTATTTCTTGTATGATTTTAAAGAATTGATAATATGATGAGTTTTTAATTTTAATGATTAAGATTTAGTTTTTACAATTTCAAATATTAAAAAAATAAATAATATAATTTGCAATTTTTTTATGTTTATTTAGTTTAGTTAAAATTTTTATAAAAAATGCTTTAAAAAATTAAAATAACAAATAACAAATCATATATCATATATTATATTATATTATATTAAACATATATAGTTTTCAGATAACATTTATTGATATGAAAACTTACATGAATAGCTTCTTTTTAAGATACGTAATTATTTAAAATTTTAAAATTTAATTAAAAATTAATTTAAATTTTAATAAAATTTTTTCTCTTATACATCATTTCATCTCAATTTAAAATCAATTTTAAAGTAATTATTTTTTTTAATTTATCTACACTTAACATGTTATTTAAATTTATTAAAACTTTTAAAAATATTATTTAATATCTTTAATATTTTTTATAAATAATCTTTTCGTTATCTTCAGCTTTTAAATATATTAGCCATAGATAAAGATAATTCTAATAAACAATCCCTAGCTTTAAAAAATAGATTTAGATATATTTGAATTCAAATAAAATTTAAATTTAAATTAATATTTGTCATAGACTTTTAATAGTAATATTTTAAGAAAATATGAAAAAAAAAAGATATAAATAACATATCAACTTCAATAAAAGCTTCAATATTGATAGTTTTTAGTTATATATATATTTTTTATGTCTTATAAAGTATATGAGCTAAACGTATTTTTCTTACTATTAATTTAATCTTTTTTTATTAGTATATTTTTACTATAAGAACTAACATGCTTTTTCTTATGATAGGTATTATTTCACTAAACATACTATTTACTCTATCAGATAATTTTTTTTTTCAAATCAGTTGTAACATTTCTTTTTTCTATTTCTCAATTCATAATAAATGTAATTAGAACCCAATTAAGCTAATATCTTTTTTATTATGATTTAAAATCAAATAAAAAAATAAACTCAATAAATTTGTTTTATTTATTTACACAGATAAAATTATAATATACAACTAAATAACAGTAAAAAAAAATTTGTGTTAGATAACTTTTAAACTTTAATAAGTCATATTGGTCACTTTGATAGAATTTCTTAAATCTAGAGTTATCAAGTTAAGATATATCAATTTTTTTTGAGTTAATTTTATTTTCTAACATTATTGTTTATTTTTAACTCTTTTTTTATTTGCTTCATATTTTCTAATTATTTTTTTTCTCAAGATTACATTTTCAAACACTAAAACAAATTTTGAAGGTATTTTTTTTTGTTATGCCAAGAAAAAACCATTGAATAAAGAAATTGATTTTATATTATTTATAGATAATATATATGTATTTCATTTTTAAAATTTTTTGTACTATGTACTGAGTTTAACTTTGTGAAAATCCTGTTTTATGAGAAGATCCTAGTTAGGTGCCAAACAATTGGTTAGTCATTAATCCTATCACTTATTTTTTGGACATATGAAACTTTTCGATAATGGTTTCTAACATGCAAGGTTATGTTTATTATAATGTTTTATTAAATGAAAAATGAGAAACAAAAATAGAGTAAAGAGAATTATTATTAGTATTGCTACTATATTTAAATTTTTAAATGTTTATCTTTTTAACTTTTATATTAACAGATTTTTTTTCAAGTAAAAAAAGTGATAACATGAATTGTACATATGAATATTAAATCAAAGAATATTATTTCTCGTGAAGATAATGATAGTGAATTTTGCTTAGTCAACAAATATTTTTTAATTCAAGAATTTTTAGATTTTGTTTTACTGTTTTGTAACTTTAAGTAGGTTTTTATATATTTTTGTAACTTAGTAGGCCTCTTACATTAATTTTTGATTTTGGAATCATATAGATTTAAAAATGGGAATCAACTATATTCCAAGGAAATTTCTTTTGGATCCAAAGTAATTTTTTTATCTATTGGTTACATGAACATTTTATTATGAATTGATGTTTACTTGTCGATAAATATTTTAATATAGTCTTTTTAGTTTGTTTGTAGTAATAAATTTTAATTAATAATTTCAAAATTTTAAAATATTTTAATTAATAAATAAAATTAATCTACGGGTCACAAACTAATTTAATATAAAAATATTATAAAATATTAAAAAACAAACTTATAGTAAAAATAAATAAATTGAATAAAATATATAATCCTACTTAAAATTCTGTGTATTATTAAAGAATAAAATGAAAATGTAAAAAAATTTTATTAACACTTCTTGAAAATTTTCAATTTATAGTTTTATTTAAAAGTTTAATACTTGATGTCTGCTTTTATAATAAATAACTGGATCAAATACTAACTAAAAATGTTTGCAGACTTTAATTGAGTCTAATTTTGACAAACTCAGGCAAAAAAAGTAACTTTGGGAGTGCTGTTCACACATATAGACAAAAAAAGCCTCTCCAATGGACTAATCCATAGGAATACAATATAATTTATCATAAATGGCCGTTTAACTCTAACTTATATTATTTGATATATAGCTTGTAATATTAAAGCTAAATGGCAAGTTCTTGATTTTCAACCTATATTTAACACACTTGGAGGAAAAGGAACAACAAACTGTATGAACACCTACAAAGAGTCTTCATGCAAGTCCTTGATCCTTTTAGCAAAAGTTCTCTGATTGAGATTAGCATTGATGCACATTGAATTAGATTATGTAAATAGAAATCTTTGCTTTTTCTCGGTCTATTTTATGTATGATTTTTTGTTTTCTAACTAAATTGGCTGGAATAGTTTTGATGATGTTATAGTATCACTGTTGCTTATCTTCTGATAAACAAAAATTACTTATGAAAAAATTGCACAAGAATATATTAGTGATTAAATTAATTAACACATATATAATTTGATCTAGAAGAAAGTAAGGATATTTATGTAGGAAGAAATTGTTATGTCATCCATCATTCTTCAAGCAAACATAAAATATAATTAAACAATAAATTACATACAATAGAGATAAAAATTTATGGGTTTGGATTTAATTTGCTTACATTGAGAAAAAATTAATTAAATACAAGGAATTATAAACACATCAACACTCAACAATCAAACATTAAAAAATCCAAATAAACACTCTACTTCAAAACAATCTCAATCCAAACAAATTTACGAGTACTTTTGCCAGCTCCTCCACAATTTCTAATCAAGCACAAATATGAGCACTTTTGCCTAGTCTCAACAAACCCAAACAGACCAAACATTCACAGCTATATTATGTCATAACGTCTAGATCCGGAGATCTATCATTAGATATGGACTTAAAGGAGTCGTCACTAATCTTTTTTATCTAGGTACGATTGGTCACTTAAAGAATCTATTCTTTCAGGAAACACCTAAGTTTAAGGGTCCCTAAGAGAGTAAGTTCGGGTTACTAATCAGAACAGGGTTCGAGAGTTTAGTTACGTGTGAAGAAGGTTATAGCACCCTCACAACGCCAATCAAAAGATGGTACCAGCTTAATTTTGTGTTATCCAATAAGCCTTAAAAATTTATCAAGTAATTATTTGTTGAAAATTGTTCTCAATTAACTCTAATACTTTTAGCAAAAAATTGAGAAAATCCCTTCACCTCAAGAGTATGCAAGAAAATTACTGTTTCACTTACAGAGACTCCATCGTCAGATTATTTAACATTAAAAAAAATTCAAAAGAAATAAAAAAAAAGAAAAATGATTGCTTTTGTACAAGGGAAAATTGATACTTTTAACATTTTCCCAAAATGTTTTTTTTTGAAACTTTAATTTCGAGCAAAATTGATACTTTCAACTTTTTCTCAAAAAAACCTTTTTTTGAAAATTTATTTTTAAGGAAAATTGATACTTTCAACTTTTCTCAAAAAATATTTTTTTGAAACTTTAATTTTGAGGAAAATTGATACTTTCAACTTTTCCTCAAAAAAAATCTTTTTTGAAAATTTATTTTTAAGAAAAATTGATAGTTTCAACTTTTTCCCAAAAATATTTTTTGGAAACTTTAATTTCAAGGAAATTTGATACTTTCAACTTTTTCTAAAAAAAAAAACCTTTTTAGGAAGCTTATTTTCAAGGACAATTGATACTTTCAACTTTTTCTCAAAAATATATATTTTTAAATTTTATTTAAAGAAAAAAAAATAATAATAAAAATGAAAATAAGAATAAAAATAAAGGAAAATAAATAAAAATAGAGAAAAAAATTTAAACAAATCTAATCTAATCAATAAATAATAATAATAATAATAAATATATAAAAAAATGAAAAAAAAAACTTGGAAACGGCTCGGCTGACGGCTCAGCTTGGTTCGACTTAAAGAAGAAAAACGGCTCGGAGACGCGGCTCAACTCGACTCGACTCGGGAAACAGCTCGCACTCGGGTTAGACGCGGGTCGAAATCGGGTCGACACTCAGGTCGAGTCGGATCTTGGTAAAACACGCGGATCCTCTGGGTTACTTAATGCAGAAACGACGTCTTTTTGGGGGGGATATATAAGGTTGAAGGTTGATTTTTTCAGCAGAAGCCCTTCTCCTCTTCTCTCTTTTCCCTTCTTTCTTCTCTCCCTTCTCTCTAGAACCCGAAGAACTCCGGTTGAATATTCATCGGATTCTGAAAATTTTCGTCGAAATTTGAGTTTTTCACAGGAAGTTTGTCGAAAAGTTGGTCGGTTTCTGAAAATTTTTATCGAAAACAGGGCTGTTAGCCGAAAAATTCAAACTTGGCAGGAATAGTCACCGAAAAATTCAAACCTTCGCCTAAAAATTTAATTGAAA